TATGTTCAGCTGTAGAGGAAAGAAATACAATTTTTCCATTGTTATGTGATGATTATTTGATATACTCTCCCTGTGTGTAATGAAAACTTACATGCAAATGAAACAAATTTGCCTCACTGTAATACTCATTTTCTTCCCAGTTTACACTGCTTTGCAAAGGTCCATCTATTCTTATCAGAAAATGTTAGTGAAGTAACCTACAGTAGTTTATATAGGCTAACAGAAACGTGGGTCGAAAGAGAAAAAATAACCAAACTGTGTAATATTGACAGTAACCTCCATCACCGGGAGGTATTTGATTATTTAAAAGGTCTTATTGGCTGGTCAAAGTGATGAGTTACTTTAGGAAATAATATTTGATGTTTTGTTGACCTTTTGTTGTGTTTATAGGTCCAAGTGGGTGAATTGCTCTCTCGAGTCTTTGGTCTTCTGATCAAACACAAGGTAGAGTATCAGAAGGTTACATTCATTATGTTGAACAAACACTATTTATAGCTTAAGCTTTATGTGACATTACAACAGGTGACACCACAGAGTCACTGCTGTTGCCTGGGTAAAAAGTAAGTGAAAGACTGAACTTAGTACTGAGTAGTTAACTTACTCATAACCTACGCATTAGTGAGTTCTACTTAGTTTTAGATGAAATGTGCCCTTCTTTGCTTCACATTGCTGTTAGGTAGGTCCAGCTTGCGAGGCTGCTGCTTTGTGGAAGCCACTGGTTAACGCTTTTAAACAAAAAAACAGGAGTAATTTAAAAATGACGTGACCTTTTATGGAATCTTTTGAAAAGCTATACTTTATGGTCTTTGAATAAAGTTATATATAGGATATTGTAATGTCAGTTTTCACATTTCCATTAGAGGTATTCAGTACATGTACTGAACAATCAGGGTTTTTTTTGTTGCACATTTGTCAGCTCAGTGGTGATAAAACAGTACGCTGCTTACTTAAAGACTACAAAAGCGTAATAAGAGTTATAATGTTATAAATCTGGTGCAAAATGAGGTTGCTAAGCTATTAACCTTCTAAACTGTGCTTGTTTGGGCCTAGCTCTATACTAAACAGGTTGAACAACCAAAAGACTAGTTACAGAACAGTTAGAAGAAACGCTGTGATGCCGTCGCTTACTGATTATGACCTTTTTACTGTTATTATCGCTTGTTTTTCTAGGTGAAGCTGGAGAGTAACTTCGCCTCCATCGTGTTTGCCGTCATGGTGCTGGAGGGTCTGGGCAGGTCACTTGATCCAAACTTGGACATCCTGGATTCGGTCAAACCCCTGCTGCTAAAGAACGGTGCCTCGATGCTCTGACACGCACACGGCTCACAATGCATTACACACAGACAGACACATGTAAGTGTACATACACCGATCAGCCATATCATTATGAAAAATGGGCAGCGTGAGGATTTAAACGACTTTGACAAAGGTCAAATTGTGATGGCTAGACGACTGGATCAGAGCATCTCCAGAACTGCAGCTCCTGTGGGGTGTTCCCCCAGGTGGTCATAATGTTATGGCTGATCAGTGTATATTACATCTATAGACACAGCATGCGTGTATACTGTGTCCTCCCAATGCCATGATGATGGGTTGTCTTCAAGCTTACAGTACAATATTCCACAAGGATCAAAAGATCTTATCACTGTTTGAATCCATAAATACCTCATTGAGTTTTACATTGGTGGTGTTTCTACTTTCATCACTGTTAACTTTGAATTTTATCATCTGCTGTCTGGTTGTAGTCAAAAAATTTAATGTAATCACCAAAAATCCACTTCAAGGCACCTCTTACTGAGCCTAATTAACTGCGTTTTACATGAGAAACCACTTATTTATTGAGTGCTAATGGAGTCAGACACACAGATCATCAGAGTCCATTTGTAGCGATCTAAGATAGAAAAGAAAATCCCTAGTTGAAACTTAAAAGCATATTTTTAACTTTTAATGATTAATATTGATCTCAGGATGTCTGATCACTCCATCTTTTATTGCATCATAGGTAATGTTATCTAATGGGCATATTTGCTTTGGTGTGAATCCCAATGTACTGTAACATGTTCTCATAGACTGCATTGACAATGTGAAGCCTTTGGCTATTGTACTCACAACTGACAATGATCTTTTAACTTTCCGTTATAACAATGGGAACACTTGTATGACTTATGCATATCAATAAAAAAAAGAGTATCTATGCTTTTTTCCTTTTTGTTGCCTCTTCTGACCAGTCGGATGTTTTCGGACCCTTTTTAAGTTAGGTATACTGACGCAGCTTCAAAGCAAACAATTCACTACATCAAGGGGCACGGGATCCATTAATTTACAATTTTATTAAATCTGTCAATGAAAAACACAGACAAGAGACGCGGTTCTGTCAATGTCATCAGGAAGAACAGTCAGCATGGCTGAAAGAGTGAGATCAGGAGGTTTTGGTGCAAAAAACTCATCACATACCCTTTATTGCAAAACTGTAGATTTTTTTTTATCACCATCAAGAGCCCAGACAGAGCAGCACTGTTCAAGTAAGGAGGGAGGGGAGAGGTGACAACTGTAAAAAAATCTTTCATTAATAATTATAATAATAATTAATAATAATAATAATAATGACAAAAGAAATAAAAACATCTCTAATAGACAAACACAATCACCTCAGTATAAGACGAGATTCTGTCACGGTCACAACAACCAGAGAAAAGTTGTTTTCTTTTTTTTTTCTCTTTTTTAATGAATTAAATAGTTTTTAAAAATATCTCACCATTTACTTATACTCATCTTTTTTCATTTATTGCGAAAAATAGGCAACTGGACTAATTGTGATGATGCAAGTTTGTGTGTGTCTGTGTGACAGAGAAATAGAGATTAAGTGGAGAGATATAGTGGAACGTCTCGGAGCGTTGGCACTGAGAGCAGCAGCAGTGTGTGGCAATGCAGTACTCTCATTCAGCCACTAGGTGGCACAGTTCAGTCTGAACATTCCTCCAAGGCCGGAGCTATGGCAGGCCCACTTCCCCGCTGTATCAGAGGAAGTCAAGTTATGCCAACAACAACCTCTGATTTTTGGAATGATGCTTGTGTGTTGAAACTTTGTCCACGGTCGCTTATCTGCTTTGCAAGATCTCAGTTCTATGTACAAAGGTTTCAAATCCCTGAAGGACATCTACAAAGACAAGTGCAACCTCCATGTGACCATCCCCGCTCTGGGGAACCTCCGGGATCAAAGGGTTCCTCTATAGGTGGAAAAAAAGGGGGGAATAGTACCAATCAGATCAGGTAAACGTACCACAGCAGGACTCAACAGAACTGTTCTTGGGAATGAAAGTCAGGAAGGATGGACACAGATTTAGGAATGTCAAAAGCTGGAGAAGAAAGGGTTGTAATGTAGTTACCTTCCTCAGAGGGGGGGCACCAAAATATCCTAATATAATCTTTCTAACAGAATGTCCAAGAGGTGATGAAACGGGAACAAGGAACAAGAAACCAGCGAAATGCACAAATAAAATAACGCCTCCATCGTCCATTTGTCATATCCATTCATGCTGATCCATCAGTCCCTCCATGCATTTTAAAAATAGTCTTTAAAGACCAAGCAGTCCTCCGTGTTAAACTGATTGTATTATTTATTTTTTTTTTTTGCTCATTCCGCACTTTTCCTGTCTCTCTCTGTCAGAGTGGCAACTGTCAGTGTGGTGCCCCCTGGAGGACTGGCTGCCCTCCAGTTCTCTGAGGTGGCCCCCAGCAGGAGCATGCAGCTCATTTAGGAAGGGGAAGGGGGAAGGGTTACAGGAGGGGCAGGTAAGGGGGCTTTTTCTGGGCTTGGATTTGTAGAAGAAATCAGGGTGTAAACTTTTAGCCCCACGTGGGTGTTCCTTCCATAGCAGGGTGAAGGTGGGGCAACTGGGCTGGAAAGAGAGGAGAAGGGTCTATGTAGGCGGATCTTGAGCACAGGCACATGTGCTCATTCTCACCCACAAGAACACACACACACACACACACACTTGTCTGTCTTTGAGGCCCTGGCTATGTAAAGGTCATGGCAGATGGAGCTCTGGGCTGTCGGCACTGCGATGGGGCTTCTCGTTGACTTTTCTTTCACATCACTGTAGAGATCAGCAGCTGTCAGTGGCCCACGACTGGATCCAAACAAATTAAAACTGAGAATTAGGAAGAGATTAGATGGAAGAGACCGGCTGACATCTTGACAGCAGACGAGAAGAAAGCACATCTCTTTCAGACAGAGCCTGACTTCTCCCTTTTACGGTGCGAGCAGCATCCATCTTCAAATTATCTGATTCTTTTTGGGAGATGTTTTGGAAGACACAGCTACTATGTCATGTTATCTCCATAACCCTGTCTTTACATTCCTTTTGGGAAAAGATGAAGGGCTTGTGTGGAACTTAAGCCTACTCAGATAAGCATGTAACAGATGTGTAGGATAGGGCAGGAAAGAATAAGTCTACTTCAAATCTGTTTGTCTCCAGCTTCTCTCCGTGCTGTTGTTCCACAGGCTGCCACCAGGGGGTGATGTTTTAGCTAAATGTTGGGGGACAAGGGGAGGAGGGCGTTTGATCAGAGATTGTGGCTACGAGTTGATCCAGGGGTGATTGAGGCATTCGCCGGCCGAGGCCCTCTTCTCGGGCACCATCTCCAGCATGGGCAGGAGGAAGTGGGTGAAGTGGCCGGCGTCTTCATGCGCCCAGCCGTACTTCTCCACCAGCACGTCAAACAAGGACCACGGCTTCAGCTTGGTGATGTGCCGCAGCTCACCTGCAGGGGGCAACAGGGTGCAGACTCAATGACAGCACAGGAGGATTTCGGGAGAAAAGAGTGCCAACATATAAAGGGTCAGTTCAACCAAAGGACTTTCCTGATTTCAACAAACCCAGAGAAAAGATCAAAACCAATGAGGAATGGATCGGATATTTCTTTTTGCTATGGAGGTCCACTAAAAACACACCAGTAAGCCTGGCTGACATGTGATTCATTATGGTGAGCATGGACAATGAGATTTATTATGAATTAATTCCACATACACTCTCTGCTGCTGTAAATATCATAGTTTGCCAAATGTGTAATAATACGAAGCTGAAAATAGTCCCCAACAAATTAACTTTTTACTCCTGTTTGAGTAAAATAAATATATATTTGTGGCCCATTTTGTAGAGTAGTAATACTGACAAACAGACTAATGCATTGTTGCTTTTGTCTTTTCATGGAATTTGTTGAAATAAGACAAATATAGAATAAAACTAGCCTTATTTAGTTTCTGGTGATATCTAGCCATGCAGATAGTTTTAGTTTGACTATTAGCCTAAGCTATCAATCTGTGAGATTTCTGCCTGGAGTAGAGTTATATTTTATGAGGTGAGTGCATCATTAATAGGATACTGACTACATTTTCATCACTGAATAATTAGCCAAACATAAGGCAATTATTTTTATTTTGTGTCAATCACTTAATAATAATAATAATAATAATAATAATAAATAGAAAATGTTCATTTTGCCAACTAACAAGGTGATTACTGTTCACATGAACATGATCTAACATAAGAGAGGTGCTATCAAAGCTAGTATCAATACTCAAAACATGACTTAGTATCGGTAGTCGATACTTTGGGTATCGATCCGGCAACCCCTACTCCAGAGTAAACAGGACATAGTTGCTATTGAAAAATGTGCACACAAAAATCCATTTAAATATATCAAAATCTATCCAATATCTGCATGGCCAGACTCCACTAGATTTTTGGGTTATTTGGGTGAACTGATCCTTTAATCAGATGCCATACCGGGCCACGATTCTGCAGGCCTCAGCCAATCCCTACAGCAGCTGATTTCACTGATTAGTCTCTTAGCCTCTCTGTTTGAATGTGTGCTAATCAGTGAGGTGCTGTAACGATGGAGTGAAAACCTGTAGAGTCTTGGCTGAAAACTACAAGAACAGATGGCAAGAGGTGAATGGAAAGAGACAGAGAATCGGTGACATAATGGAAACAGACAAGGAGAGGAAGGTGTTTATTATTAAAGAGAGGAGGAAAATGATTGGCTGGGAGCGCAAGACTGACAGAGAAGAAAATAGTTTGAGAGAATGATTAATGATGGAGACGATCAAGACCAAAGGTCCTGTTCAAACCATGGCTGCCATGGTTACCTCTCCTTCGCACAATACACCGACTGGAGAACACAAAATGGGGGAAAAGAAGCCATTTATCAAGACTTTCCTTGTGTTAGAGATTGATTAAGGCGAAGGTGTTGAAACAAGATCTCTGACAGCAACGTAAACCCTTACAGCTGTGTTTTGTTTTGTTTTTTTGCATTAATTGCACATTGCTTGTCACATATTACTGTATGTTTATAATCTTTGGGTTTGCATTCTTATTAAGTCGAGTAACAGCGTGCATGAAGGAAAAAAAGGTAAAAAGGCAGCTCGATTGTACTTCGTGGCCGAAGGCAGCATGGCAGACAGGAGAAGCCCAGAGAGACAGAGCGAGAAAGTCAGACCAGATTAACAGAGCACCAAGTGATAAAAGGGAGAACATTGAGACATCAAGTGCAGGCTCAGACCTCAACATCAAAGGCAGAATATTCAGGTCTCATGACACATTTTGAAGAATATATGAGCAGAAAGGGAAGGAGATCGAAAGAAAGAAAAAAGAGAATAAATGAGAGAGTGCAAGGGTTATCAGCTCTACCAAACACAGATCCATGCACTTACCAGGCTCAAAGATGAGCAGAATCAGTGAGGTGTATGACATACTTAAGACCTTAGATGCAGTAAGTTAAAGCCTTGCTGTGTAGACTGGGAGTATGACTTTACTGTCTTTACTGCGTTTGTTATTGATCCTAACTTTGACATCCAATCTGTAATGATATATTACTTCTACTATAGGTGTAATATTTGGTTTTGGCTGTTATTTCATAAAATAAATTACTGATATGATCGCTGATATTACAAAGGCAAAACATCTGACTATTGTTTTGTCAACTACAAGCTGGTTTGTTGAAGTCTATATAAAGTGACTGTAGTGAATGAATTACTTTGCAGTGCACAGATGATGAAGATAATCACAACAAAGTATTTGAATGCCAATCAAGTAGGGATGGGTGATAAAGTTTAAATAAATATTACAATATGAAGAATATTTAGACAAATACCTTGAAAATGAAATTTAAAAAAAAATGAAATGTGTAAAACAAAATCTTCAATTACTAATGTTGTTTGTTTTTTGATCACAACTGGAAGAATTCCTTTTGGACAACAGAATTTAGTAAAATGATCAATCATATGTTTTAGGATTCTTGTATCACTGAGCATGTTTTTGTGAATGCGTTTTTTTGCAACAATTCCTTCAATCCTAGAAAATCTCTAATGTGAGACAAAAAAGTAACATAAACCCTGGCCTGAAACTCAGAATACAATGTGATCATATCATCATGATACAAAAATCAATACACTATAATAACCAATTATCGCCCAGCCCTACAATTCATTATTCATGTTTGCTGTGATTGACAACTTACCTGAGCGCATCTGAGCTGACTTAATTCAGACTTCTGTAGCAGCACTACAAACTTTACTACACAACAGACTTCTAGGCAGTTCTTCATGTACTACAGCTATCCCTACATCAGGCCTACCCTCCACCTGACCAACCATGGTGTCGTTTACCTTTCTTGGAGAAAAACTCTCGGCTGTACTTCCCGGCAGCGACCACTTTGCGTGGGACCTTCCCAAGGAGCTCCATGATCAGAGCGATGTGGTCTGCCCACCACCACATAGATCACAGAGGGAACAGGCACGGTTCAGCATTACAGCATGCACACGCACACAAACACGACTGGCTGTATGGGACTGACACACACTGCTGCCTTGGAGTACTGCATGGACACACTCGCAGTTGGACAGCTACTGAAACACCTTAAAGTGGTGAGGATTTTATAAGATTGTTCTCACTGTTTTCAGTCACTATTTCAATTGATAAGTCCAATTATTTCCAAAATCAAATTAACAACAACATAAGCTTTATGTTTATATGGTGTCCCGACTTCCTGCTAGTGTCCATTTTTGTCTGTTTTAGACATTTATGTGTCCCAGTCCCACCAGCTCTCTGGCCAGCGCTACCTCTTCGGTTGAAGAACTCCCGGGAATATTTTCCAGAGAGCGCAAAGTGCCTCGGAATACAGCCCAGCAGCTCTATGATGTGGGCTATGTGGTCTATGGAGGAGAAAGGGAGGTGGAAGGGAAGAGAGGGGGAAGGAAAACGGAAGAAGGATGACAAAAAAAAGAAATGGAAGAAAAGGAGATGCAACAGAGAGAAAGGGTAACGGAAGGGGAGAATTAATTGAAAAGGACAGTGAAAGTAACGTAAGTAAATTGTAAAGAGGATGGATTGTGAGAAATAAAATAAGACGTTACAGGAAGAAAAGATCACAGAGGTTAAGGGAGGAATAACAGAGGGGGGAAAGGAAGGAAAAAAGAGACAGTCACAGACAGTAAAGGAGAGAAACCTGTGTTAGTGAGCTGTGCCTCCACAGCAGAAGTGGTGAAATGAAATGAACAGCCTTGGAATAAAACTGAGATGCATTCAGATGCAGAATTAAGTCAACAGGAACCTGAAGCTGGATTTCTTTTTCTTTTTTGATGGGAAATCAAAGGGGTCTTTCTGTCATGATAAAACTGTGCAAAACATGCAAAATGAGGATAAGTGTGTCACATGCAATGAGGAAAATAGCACAATCAGCTGGTAAGATCAAAGATCAGGGGAGATGAAGAGATCAAGGATTGAGGTGAGGATGAGGGTGCACAGTCTGAAAATGTGTTTGCTAGACACAGTAAGGAGGATGAGTCTACATGCAAATACAGGGACTGTATTGCTTGTTAGAGTAAACGTGACCTGAATATAGATACACATATACTCACTCACAGTAACTGGGTAATGTTACTGTTACACTGAAGTTACTAATTTTACAGTTTGTTGGAAATCTCTGTGTGTATCTATAAAGTTTGAATGATTCAGGTTTAGGTATACAGTGGGGTGAAGATGAGTGGAGGCATAGCAGCAGAATTAAAGGACAGGATTTACAGTTGACAGTGGATAGGGGGATTTGGGAAGAGGGATGGCTACAATAGTTTCAACTAAGCTCACTTTTTTTTTTTTTTACAGTAAGTACTGATCTAATACAGTTTTTGTCCATTGTTCAGATGCACTGATAGAAACAACAGTCTCACTTTAGACTTCCTGGTGCAATGTGTGCTCTGTGTTTGCACCTGTGTTTTTTAAAAACCATGCCCTCTGTCATATGAAAAATAAAGAAAAGCAAAAAAAAAAAAAGTTACATCAATGCATTTGCAGTGTTAGAACACAGTTATCAGCAAACCACCTGAACAATTGAGAAAACCTGTCAAGCAAACTGAGGTTCAATAGCGCACAAACACACACTTTCATTTAAAAATACATAAAGTCAATTACAATTTCAAATTAGAACATTCCATAAAGCATTTAAGACACTTTGCTTTTATATTTCTGTTGTACATTCCCCTCACTACTAGTTCTTATTCATCTTCAAGTCATCATCTAGGACATACTGTAGATCAAGCCTCTAGTCTCAACATACAATATTCAACTATGATTCCCCCTGTGGAATACGTACAAATGTTTTCTATGTTTCTATTTTTGGAAATCAAATTTGTGTGATCATGGAGATTTAAATACTCACCCTCATCACGGGAGTAGTCCTCTCCAGAGTGGGGCTCAAACAAGTAATCTCCAGTAGCCAGCTCAAAAGCCTACAAAAGATCAGAGCACTGTACTTGCATCTATACTGAGTATATATGTATGTAATGTGCTGTATATATGTATGTGTTCTCCTTACCATGCAGGCAGTACTCCAGATGTCTGCAGGGGTGCTGTAACCAGCTCCAATCAGGACTTCAATGGAACGGTACTGTCTCGTCTGGATGTCCTCTGTAAAGTGCTTGTGCTGTACAGAGAGGAGAAGATTTGTGACTATACGAACACACAGTACTAGCAATCGTCAATAAACTATATACCCCTGTTTTTTTAATTAACCAAGAAATGAGACAACACGGACTAGTGATTTTGCCTACTTAAATTCCATTCACCTTTTGTCTGTAAAAACTTAATATTTTAACCAGACTGGGGGAAAAAATCTAACTTCTGCTACACTGTGATGTGATTCTACTTCGTATTTGGGAATAGTCTTCAAACTGACTCCAAGCACATCATATACTGTGATTCTCTAGTTATTGTTACACTTCTTCTCCTCTTCCTCATCACCTTCTTTACTCTCCTTTAAAATATCTGAACCTCAATGAGGTTGTGAGACCCACAACGACCAAACCTCCCAGCTAGGTTTACAGTCTCAGTCTATAATAGTACTGCTATAACCACAATCATGTTTTCGTTGATAACTCCTTTAATTTTATCAGCAAAGTTTCAACCGACTACACTGTCCTATTTATTGGGTGTTTGTGAAAGATACTTTTGATATTATACTTATCTCTATTTATATTAATGTTAATTTCATATATCCCTATTAAGAAGGATATCTTGGCATACATGACTGTGATTAGATGATTAAGATGTCACTGGTCAATTTGCCATATACATACCCCTCACTTCTTCTCTGCGGGTATTTATTTACCTGAGGACAACGTGTAGGTGGTCAAAATGTCAATAATAAAGTGTGAAATAATATCAGATCCAAGATACTGTGTCTTACCACCCAGCAGGCATTTCCAAGATCAGCGATTTTGACTCGAATAGACTCGGCGTTGCGCGGGTCTAGTGGGTTGATCAGGAGATCTGCAGCTCTGGCTCGGACTGGGAAGGGATGGAGTGGGAAAAAAACAGGGTTAACACATACAGTACAGTAAGTAGAGATAGTTTACACACTGTAATGTACTAATAAACATTTTTTAACAAGTTTAACTAGTTTGTTAGTCCCGATGACGCATTGTGAGTGTTATTTAACTGGGAAATAAACTTTATGTGGTGGTTGCACTTCATTAGACATTTTTTGTTTAACATTCTTGTTAAGCTTAGGAGATGTGATCCTAGAAGTGACCTATAAAGATATAAAGTCCAAGTTATTGATAATAAAATGAATGCTTTGGGTGGATGAGTAATGATGGTGGTGAGTCATTGATAACACCCAGAAGAGATATCTGGAAAACTAAAATATAATAATGAGCAACTGGATTATCTTACCAGGCAGCTTTAATGTATAAACAGAAAATGAAAAGACGTTTTCATTTTCTGCCAATCTGTTACCTCACCTAAGATCTAAATGAGCTCTAATTATCATTATGCTGTTTTTCTTTTCTTAATCTATCTGAATAAAATTCTAATTTATATGTAGATTAGCTTCTTTTTCAATAGAGACCTTGGCAAGAAGGAAGAATAATATAATATATATAATACATAATTAAAGTATTGACAGATGGTATCTACTCTACATAGTGGGCCTATTGCATATTAATTCCATGTTTTACAACATATTTTTGTATATATTTTGTTGTTTTTTCATGGATCATGAAGCCATGAAGTGTTCAACATTATAAATAAAACAAGACATTATGAAATAATCACATGAATGAGCTGTGTTAAATATATAAATGAACCAATAAATTGTGATTTTTAAAAATAAATTATTAAAATTCAGTATTAAAGGTATTAAAGGAAATAACATGTCATAGTTGGAAAGAGGTATGGGGTGCAACATATAGTATAAACAATGAAAGGTGTTGAATTTAATGTTTTAATGTAAGGACATGAATGAGCTTACGTGTACAGAAAAGGGGTTGACGTGTCATTCAAGTGTGAGTTGAAATAACATTATATCATGACCCTGTGTGGCTCTGTAATGGAGTTCTTGAGTATCAGTAATTATGTGTGAATAGAATCATTTTGTGCGTGTAAATCAGTGGATATACAGAAACCTTGTCTTACCTTTAGGCGTGTCTCCTGTGCTTGAGGATGACACAGTGCGACTGCGGTCAGCGGTGGGGCTGTTGGGTGATGGTCCTGCTCCAATGTCTGCCGTGCCAACAGAAATGGGGTTTCCCGGCAGAGGATCCAGGGGCAAATCCGGGAAAAGGGGCATCGTGACCCGGTGGCGGTCACTGGAGCCGTTGGTCAGTCCAGGCTCAGCCAGCTCGCCATTCTGCATCTCATACCCGGAGCTGAGAGAGTTGTCCCTGTCCGTGTAGCTGAGCTCGGACTCCACCAGAGGGCAGAGGATGGGCTCAGGAGTGGGCGAGGGAGGTGGAGGAGTGCCAGGGTTCGGTTTCAGTCCCTCAGATCCCAACAAAACGTGACCATTGGTTTTGGCCGAATTGCTTTTGTTGTTGTGGAGTTTGATGGGGGAGGTGGTTTCCGTGAGGGGCTCTGCAGTCGTGTCGTCATCCTCGTCTTCCTCGTCCTCATCCTCCTCTTCCTCCTCCTCGTCCTCCTCATCATCCTCCTCCTCCTCCTGATCCTTTGACACATCTTCTTCTACCGCTGCTTCTTCCTCTGTTTTGTTCTCATTCTTTGGCTCCTCTGTCTCATTCTCCTCTCTTTCAGTCTTTTTCTCCTCCTCCTCCTCCTCCTCCTCCTCTTCCTGCCTCCTCCTTCAATCCTCAGTACTTTCTCACTCCTACCCTCCACTCTTCCATCATTCTCATGCCCTGCTACCGCTTTTAATCCTCCCTCCTCCGTCTCCTCCCCTCCCTCGTGCTTTACCTCTGCTTGCGTTGGATCTACCATTACCTTCTTGGTGGTGAGGAGGAATAGGATATCTTTCAGCAGTAGCGGCGTGGGTTCCTCTCTCCTCGTCCTCTGTCTTCCTCGTCCTCTCCCTTTCCTCCTCCTCCTCCCATTTGAGGTCG